GCCATTTAAGAATGCAGTTTATTTATTAATGTTACTATTTTTTTCCCATTGCTTAAGTGCTAACCGGTTGGTTTGAACTCCTTTCCACCTTATTTGGTTTGTTCTAGCCTGGTGTGTGTGTGTTTTTTGGTAACGTAGCCAAGTAAGAAACACAATTAAGAGTTTCTCCTAAATGCTTCAATGATGGATCAATGGAAAGAGGAGAAAGTCTAGTTTGTGATTACTATAGTGAAAGTATAATGCCTAAAACATCAGTGATAAAAATGATATAAAATGAAATAACCAAATCTCAAATTGGAACACACAATATTTCAACATTGCTGAGTTATCCTTTGCGCCTCAACATCACTCATCATTAATGTAAGCCTTTAGTGGCACCTTCCTTGTTATCTCTTTTAATGACTGGATAATCTGTATCCTTCAGGTTGCTAACGGTGACAAGTCCTGTTCCCTGTGGTATAAAACCCACTTGAACTTAAGTGTCATTGTTTAGTGGCAAAACTGCTAATCCCTCATTTATTTTCAGCGACCTACTCTGTGTAGCACCACAGTGTAAGGGGCACAAATACATCCTCCCTGTTGTTAAGGGAAAAATAGTCTGAATCTTCCACATTCATAAGCATTAGTTTTAGATGTTCTTTTCTGAACGAATACTTCATGCATGGGCCAAACCAAAACTGAACCAAAAGTTTGTAATTATTATGACTAAGTTCTGAGTACAATGTTTATGATGACATAATGTGGGTGTTTTAATTATTATATTTTTATATTATTATTATTAATTTGATCAGTTGGTGGAACAATGGCCTCTGAGCCTGAAGGTTGTGGGTTTGAGCTCACCACAAGACCTTCTCCACCGACTCCCACTGATGTCTGCTGACGTTGTGTCCTTGGGCGTGACACTTTACCCCACTTTGCCTGAAGCCCCCACTGAAAGATCAAGGCTATGATGTCACAGACAAAGCTGCCGCCCCCCTGTGGACTCACCACCTGCAGGAGGATAAGTGAGGGGTGCAGCTCATACGCCCCCCGACCCAGAAATGGAAGAAGATGGATGGAGGGATCTTGCTGCCCTATAGAATTAATCAACTAATCAATCTTTAGCTGTAGAATGCTCTTTGTACAAAAAGATTCACTCCCAGAGCCATCATTTTAACTGCTACCATTCCAATCAATGGAATTCTGAAAGATTCCCCTAAAAACGTTTCGTTTTATACCAGATTTATTAAAAGTAAGTAATTTATAGGATTTGCAACTTTTCTCATGTTTATTAAGTGCTAAAACGGGTTAATATAACTTAAATGTATAGCAAACATTTTGTTAAAAGGCTAATACTAAATGCTGCAAGTAAACCACAAGTTTCTATGGTAACTAGCCCTTTTTTGGGCGGAAAACTCTCCAAGACCTTGGACCTCACCTTGAAAAACCTCAACTCCTATAAAAAGTTTGTTGCCAAGTGGAGCAGTCCTCTGCTCTGGGAGTTATTAGCACAACTATACTCACGTTTCAAAATAATTTCATAAAAATAATGACAGACACTAACTACATAGAAACAGAAAAAAAACGTTTTAAAGACCAACAATGTACGTCCAGTGAGAAATTACGCTTCATAAACGAAAAGCCATCAAATGCTCTGGGAGCTCCAGATAATAAGAGATTTTTGAGAGTACAAAATGATACAAAACAATAATGACACAACCACAAATATGAAGTGATGATATTGCAATGATAACGCATAATGAGTTTAGATTATTGAGAACAACATTTCAAACATTTATTTTAATCCACTCCTTCATAAGAACCAGAACTGACAGATATAGAAGTCACTGGAACACCATTTTACTTCAGCTCTTTTCACACCCTGCAAATAAGCAACACCAGCATATCTGCCCCTGCCAATGATAAACCGTACGGCCCATGTGAGGATGAGGTGTTAGTGAGAATCAGAGATAAAGATAGATCTGTCAGTGAAAGTCGTGTCTTGTGGCTTTATATGAAATGGAATATCCTCAAATGATCTTCTTTGAGCCTGCATGACATTCAGGCCAATGATTCCTTGCTTTATCTGTGGCCAGGTTGTGTAGCCTGATTTCAATAATATTGAGAGGACATTTCTTACAATCAAAATATAGATCAGAAATAGATAAAAAAGAAAAGAAAAATAAATCTACATGAAAATTGATACATTTTCAATCTGAAAAAATCATACAAAGATAGGGTTCAATAAGATACTCCTTTAGTTTCTTAATTCAGTCTGATGCCTGGTGTCTGCTGTGCATACACCACGAAATAGGTTAAAACAGACACAGGCAATAGCACCATCTGAGACCTCAAGGACCATAGAAAAACATTTACATCAAAACAGAGAGCACCCCGAAGTCTTGCCCTTCAGAAAACCTAAAGTGCAATATTTTGTTTCCCTTGCCCAAAGTCTAAAGTGCAGTATTTTATTGCACTTGCCCTAAGCTTAAAGTGCAGTGTGTTATTGCACTTACCTGGGAACTTATTCTATGTTTTCTTTTTATTACACACGCTGTGTTTGAGGTTTGAAAGATAGGTACCCCGTCTCTAAGTTGAAATAAAAACACTATTTATAAAACAGATGCATTAACATGTTGAATAAAGCGGGTGGTTTAACATAAAAACAGATATATCCGTTTTCAAAAAGTGTCAAACATTGAATTCCTCTAGTTATAATCTTCAACATGTTTTGCTTTTGGCAGTACATTTTAAAGGATTTTGTAGAGAAGGTGTGAAACTATATTTATTGAACTAAAACAGATCTGACTTGTTAAAGAGGCAATGGTAAGCCGTTAAAATATTGTTTTAATTGCACTTATCTGGTTTTGCAAATGAATAATTCAAATGATTATTCACTGTGATTATTTATGATTTTAATGCTATCTTATTTTGTTCAGCACTTTGAGTTGCCTTGTGTATGAATTGTGCTATACAAATCAACTTGCCTTGCTTTGCCAAATGTGAACATGTGAATGAGTGTGTAGTAAAAAAAATACAAGAAACAAGTCATGCGCATAACTTGTCCCATAAGTAAATCAGAAAATTTGATATTGATCCGAAATATAATTAGTATGTTGATTTTAAGAACAGTGTTTTTCAATACCTGTGTCCGCAGCTTGAGCCACTTTCATTCTTTGTACTCCAGACCGACAATGTGATTGCTATTCATTTATTCATGAAAATACTTGAGAATAAATGATAAATTATCAATGGTGTGCTTTATGATTTTAAAGCTGCCGAATAATGTGATTATCAAAATGCTAAATTACTTTTTTGTTCATATAATATCATCAGGATAATATTCCTTTCTGAACATTAAATCGAATTCTCTTGTATTGCCCCATTTCGACTCCTATGAATAACTCTAACTAATCTGTGTTTCTCAAAGTCAACGCTACAATTAAATGATTGTAAAGAATACTCATTATTGAAATCTCCAACCACCACAACCTCAATTTTAGAGACCTGGAACCGGACCATAATGGGGTCGCGTAATCATTTGGCTGCCTTTAATATAATATGGTTAGACTGTGCACTTAATCCCATCATATCTTTGCTGGTGACTCCATGGCAACTTCTTTGTAAAACCGTAATCGTCGCTGTTGTCAAGGTGCTAATAGTTGTGTAAGGACTTTTCTCCAACGTACACTCAACTTACGAGCAAAAAGCAGCAAATGTCACATCTTTCTCCCTCATACTGTGATCCATTCGAACTATGTGTTTGGATTATTGAATTTTGTAAGGTCTAGGATTAGCATTGGTTCATTAACCGAAATATTGAGGTTGGTACTGGGCGTGAAAATGGATCAGTGCAAATCCAATGCGATGCGAAAAACCAATGTTTTTTTGACCCAAGTTCGAAATGTGGCGTTGACCTGAGACACCAGTGGGAAAGGTTAGCGTATTGTTTTGGACTGTGTTGACTTTTCATCTCGTCTTTAAAAATCGTTCTTCTAAAGTCACAGAGAGAGCAAGTTTATCATCCACGAGAAGCAATAGAGACTTTCAAACAGTCAAACTATGAGCGTTGAATACAGCCCGAATAAGTGCATATTAGATACAGAACCAGACAAAACTGGTCAGAGACTGCAGAACATTTTTACCCTTGATTTCACTGTTCGTTTTCTGTCTTGTACTTTTTTTTTGCATTGTGTTTTTTGCGAGTGTCCTTGAGTGTCATAAAAGACATATAATGACAAGTTTCTTTTATAATTTAAAGGAGCAGTATGTAAAAATCTGGCCAAAGGTGGTACTGCAACCTCTCCCTCTCTCCCTGACTCAGGTTGCCCGATATGCAGACGAATCCTGCTGGAAAAATAATATCTGAATAGACAAGAGTTTTGTCAACAAGAAATCTAAAACCAACAACTTTTTTCACAAATCCTCGTTTTATTCCTTGTTTTGTTATTTATGATTTGAGATTAATAATGAGATATTTTTTAGTTATGCGGCCACAAGTTACTTTACCAGTGAGTTTAGCTCAACGCGGTGAGTTTTGGCAACCCGGATCACGGACTTTCTCATTGGTAAAATGGTGGAGGGCGGGACATCGAAATGAAAACAATAACAAGATTTAGGGGCTGTAAAACTAACTTCAAATATCTCGGCTGAACTACTGCTATCAGTTAAAGAAAAACACATGTCTTATTAATGCCTTTTGTTATGTTAGGGCCATTTAACGATGACTTGACATGAACATCTTACATCTTGCTATTTTAAGCTTGGTCAACTTGACACATCTCAATTTCTCATCTCTGTACATTGTATCTTACATTTTCCTCTGTTCCCATCTCTGTCATACTGTCAGAGTTTGGGTGTGTGTGCATATGTCCTCCCCCCATCTGTGTCTGCCTGGAGCTGGGCGGAGTGTCTGCAGTCCTGCTCCTGCCTTTGGTTCCACTCTCTTCACACCTGCACCATCCTCATCACACACACCTCTGCTGTCCCTTCACATTTATCATGTGCCAAATCGTCAGTAAATCCTACATACTTTCTCCTTTTTTAATCCAAAATTGTTTTTTTTAATAGTATATTTTTTCCTTTGTTACCTCCAGATGGCTTTTTTTCTATACCTACCTCCGTTTTTTTTTTGCCTCAGCTTCTAGCCCAGCCCAGTCCAGTTTTCCTGTTATAACACACACTCAACTTAATGACCTACATTGTTTACATATAAACCCTTGGAATTCTATAATGCATCATTGACTTCTGCAGGACAAAAATGGCGAAACCATGCACACGTTCCTTCTGTCTCTGGCGGTCTTACTCTACTCACTCTATTCTTGTTATGCTGTACTTAGGCAAAATACTGCCTCTTCATTTGACACACAAGCAACAGACAGATACAGTATACAAGAATTGATTTGCCATTTGCAGTAAAACCACATTAGAAAACCTGTGCAAGACTACCCCAGTTTGCATTTACATTGCTGTATAAACGGCAGCTAAACTGTTTTTGGTTCAAACTGGCCTCGGCTTCATTATCTCCACACCATGGCCTCGGTCACTCGGTGTAGAAAAAAGGAAAAAAAGGTGTTGAAGATGACAGATTACCCAAGCTCTTCTGATGACCTTTAGTGAATAAGAAAGGGAAAAAACTGCTATTCGAAATGGCAATAGGACATAATGAAAGACAAACGAAGAATTAAAAGTGCAAAATGTGAATTGAGGAAAACAGACCCCTGTATTGTATGTCTCTATGTGTAACTCAAAATCAAACAGAGACCTCACAACAGCGTCACAATAGCGGTGTTGCTATTCAAAGCCCATTAGAGACGTGGAGGACACACTCTTTCAGGCCCTCAGACTCTTTCAGACATATTCAAGATTGTCTATGTTTATCTCCTTATCTATATCTACAACAGCTAACATCAGGTGAACATACATAACACTATACGTTATTAAAAAATGGACCATCTATCATTTTAATACTGTCCAAGCGTCATTCTCTCAGGCAATTTATCCCCACTGTATGTTCAAGAACATAAAACCGACATCACGAGACAATATTGACATTACGGATCAATAGGGTTATTATTCCGTTGCCTCCTCACGTGGACCTCTTCTCCTCCTCTTTATGACCAAAGGAGAGAAGAAACAGCGATAGAGGATTTTTTTGGACAATAATCTCACCTTCAATACCTGTATATTTAACACCTATGCTTTAATTTTTTTTGGAAAAGGCAAATCTGATTTTTTTTTTTAGAAACCAGCTCAAAAGGCCCTAGTTTAGAATTTTAGAACTATAGAAAAAAAAAATATATATATAAAAAACTTGAGACAATGACAAATTTTGCTGCTGGTAATGAACTCGGAATGACTATTTTAAAACGCTATAAATATATATATATATTTTTTTAATTGCAAACAAACGTATTTATTGTTTGTATAAAGTAGTATTATCTGTTTTGACGGTTAAAAAAAATCAGTGTACAATATGTTGTGTTCAGAGCCTATGATTCTTACATTGAATTTTCCAGCTCCATACAACACTGCACTGTGAACATATAGTATATACTTATAGTCAATATATTTATTTACATGTTTATAGTATTGATGATTATGTTGTCTCACAGAAAAACTATGGTTAAACACTGGCAGAACTCCAGGGTGCCTGTAATGTGTAGGTGTGGGCTTGCTGACAAAAACGTCCTTCATTGTGAATTTGAAAACATTGCATTCTGACTTATAATGAGGCCTACTTCACCGAGTCGTGTTCTTGAAATCCAAGACTCACATAACTCAAAGCTCTTAATTATATTCAATGCTCACTTTAGGAGAGGTCACTTTTTACTTTTGCAATAGATATCATGTGCAAACCTTTTTTATCATTATTATTTATTGCAGTTATTTGGGTTCTACACATTCATCTCTGCTTTATTTGAGAGTAAAGAATATATAAACGGGGACTTTACTTATTTTCTTGAAGGAAATATACTCTATGAATGTGAATAAATCCCATCCAGCAACATTTTAATATCTCTTACTTTCATTGTTGCGTCTGTGCTTTGAAAAACCTTTAAACATGACATTGTGCAACTGGTACTTTTTACCCAAAGCCTGTGATGGAGGGGATTTAAACTCTGAAAAGGGGATAACAAAACAAAACACAACAAGCAGACATCAGAGATTAAACACACATAAACAAACCGTAAAGTCAGTAATCATTGACAAGCCTAATCCAATGTTCCACCATGCTCTGAAAGCTGATAATAATAACTCCTAAAGTCATTAACCAAGCACGAGTCTGCAGAGAACCAGATGTTCAGCAAAATGAAAGACCAATTAAACCATGGTGTGGACCTGGATTCATCCAATTAGTGGTTGCTTAGTGATGGTGGACACTCCAATGGCTTTACCAAATCTTATTCTCATGGCCTAAGGGGTAGCCTATTAATTAGTTAGGCATCAAATCATATTTTACTTATTTGAAGAAGAACACACTATATTTTCAAATCAGAATTATGTTACTGCCAATGTAATATAGTGCAAACAAATGATAAGAGTAAACAATAGATAAATAGATTAGCCAAAGTATAGTTGAATTAAATTAAAAGTCTCCATGACATGTTAATATGGTCTTCCGTTTTAGGTAAATATAACTAATAATAGCCCATTCATTACAACAATTGAATGGGAGTGTGCTGAATCAAGTGCTTGATAAATATCTTACCGATGGTTGAGACCACAGTTCCCACAAAGTAGAAAGCCCCAGTGAAGTCCCATCGGGGGCGGACTGTATCCACACGTATCCCCGCTACGTTCGCCTCCTCGTAGTTCCGTAGAAAGTTGTTCAGCTCCTTTGCGCTCAGATTGTACTTTTGACGGAAGAGCTCGAAGCTGTGCGTCCAGCGCTCCTTGGCCTCTCGCTCCTTGGGCTGCTCCAGCGCAGAGAAGACCGCGGCTCCACACAACAGGTACAGCACGATGAAGAGAGCGAGCAGCAGGAACCTGGCGTTGTCCTCGTTCACGGAGCCGCAGCAACAGCCGCTCCTACATGCCATTATGTAGACTTGTGCGCCCGTGGCATGGTGCTGAACAGAGACACTAGAGCCAGAGCGAGGAAACCCCTCTCCAACGTGTCCCTAGAGTCCAAAGATAAGAGTTAAACGTGCGTGAAGTAAAAGGTATGTTGCTTTTTAAAACCTCTGTGATGTGCGCGCAGCAACCTGTAGCTGCGCAGAGGCTTGTCGGTGCCTAATCCAGCGCGTCTCCAGATATCTCCACCCCGGAGCGCACGTTTACGCACCACCACCAGCAGCTGACCAAGTCTTCTCATGGGCTCGTTATTCTTACTGTGCAAACGTCCTTTTGCTTCCACTTGGTTTCATCAAACACAGATCAACTCAGCGCGCATGTTGTTCAAACCTTTGGCGCACGAAACGGGTGTATGGTGAGATCAATGTGACGTGACCTTTGTAAGTTCTGATAAGGAGGCGGGCTCTGGGCTTCCGTGCGCTTCCCCAGGACGATCAGAGCAAATGTCATGATACAAATAGGTTTAGCAGGTATAATAGTCATGATCGCAGGAGCGTGTATTGACCAAAATGTTCATGATGACTGAGAGAGCATTCAGCCGCACAGACAGAGAAAGACCTTGTTTTGCTCTTTTAAAATCCAGCAGATTACATAGCAACAATAATGCCATCTTTCCAAAAGATCAGGCTGTTGTTGGTAGATATATTGTTGTTTTGTTCATGTTTGTGTCTGTCCTCCCCCAGTAGTCTTATGAAGGAGAAGAGCAACTTTGTTTTTCTTTTTTTTTATCATCTAACTTTAGTAATATTACAACACAAGTAATTATTTTGGGGATACCGAGGCACAAAGCCTCTCCACAATGGCATGAATTCATACTTTATACACCAATCATTCACATACTCTGCATCTGTGTGAAGCATTAGGACAGTTAAACATGTTGGTCTCCCATGAACGTACTAACTAGGCATCCACTGCTTAGTCTCTGACAGCTGATGGGAGTGAGCGATAGTACAGTATAGTTTGCATTGACTGATCAACTCAAATCCATTTTCTTTGTATGGAGAATTGCTGGGTTAGAGCTTCATGACACTATGCGTCACAAAGTTTAATTTTACCCTGAACACAGCCGCTGATTACAACCACGTCACTTGTCATTTCCCCAAGACAGTTCCCTGTCATAGAACAAAGCGTCAATGTTTTTACCGGCAATTACGGTGGTCAGTGTTGATTGGAGTGTTGTTTTTCCACTCGATGCGCTGATATGTGCGTGGAGAGGCTTTTCAAAGCCATCAGGACATAATAAACTGCACATCACTGTTGATTTTTGACCAGACAGATGCCATACGAGATACTCCTCAGTGGTTTGTATTCACCTGGGATTGTGATTCAAAATATAGTGTTTCTGCTCACTGCACAAATCTGCAGAACGAAGAACAACCACACTTTGATAAAAATGTGCTCATTTGAACAGGAAAATCATTTAATTGAGTGTGGTGAGGTTGTAATGCAAGAAAGCCTTGTGCAAAAATATTTCTGACTATAAAACTGCGTACCAGCTTTGAGTCACATGCATGAACATATTCTATTGAGGATGGAATCTTTCCTAGGACACGATCACATAGATTTTTACAAGCGAATTGGGCCAAGTGGCCCGGATAGTCACCACAGGTGTGTGAAAACGGCCCGTGGTCACCAAAACGTGTCCTCTGAACCATGCCAGCGCAACTTTGCTGTAGTACGACGCCCGGTCCAGCTGGTCGCGCTAATAATAACTTCAGCAACTACGTTGCTGAAGTTGCAATCACGTTGTCCGAGTTGAGTATCCGCTTCTCTTCCTGTTTACATTCTACTACTGCAGCTAGCAGGCTCGAGCATGCAACGCGTTGTTTGCATCAAAGCAATGTGAACAAGTGTGAGATGTCTGTCAAAATGCAGCGGTGGGACCCGTGTGTGTTGTCTGTGTGTGCGGGCGCGCCGCGGACATGGGAGCGCGCCTTTATAGTAACGAGCGTAGCGGTCAGAATGAATGAATGAGAATGAAAGACAGAAAAGTGTGGCGTACGAGCAGAACGAACAGAGCCGTAGGACATAAGTGTGTGTGTTCTGGCAATTAAACAAAGGCTGATTTTTGGATGTCCGAAGTGTTATTGCAATAGCACCACACTGAGAGCGAGGGTCAGGACAGAAGAGAGTTATTCCTGTAGGAAACACTTTTCTTTGGCCCTGGAGCGCAGCCACACTCCCCAGTGCCCCTCGACCATGGTCCGGGGGCTTTTATGAATGTGTCACAGGAAGACGTAATTTGACGCACATAATCGCACAATAAAGTCCCCACCACACCTCATCCCCCACTCCCCACCACCTGCCACACTGACCCCCCTCATCCGTGCTGGGAAGGGTGCTCAGGCCCACATCTTTAAGCGAGCCTGGGCGCGGTTGCTGCAATCGTGCCCAGGCCGCTGTCACATAGGACCTAAAGCCCGGACCTATTCCCCAAACGCGCCCTGACCCACTTAAACCGGGCTTTAGGCTGCGCATGTGACCGCAGCCCTAAAGCCTGGTTAAAGTGGGCCCAGGTCGCGTTTGGATCCGGGCTTTAGGTGCCGTGTGACAGGGGCAACTGGGCTTAGGCTCGGTTGCTGCAATCGTGCTTGGGCACGAGAAAAGTGGGCCTGAGCACGCTTCTAAAGCCTAGATGAGGGGGTCGATGTGGTGGGTGGTGAGGACATGATATTGGACGTCACATTACGTCTCTCCCTGCAGTTTCATACTTTTGCGTTCTCCCTGGCTTGTGTTACACCTTTCATTTGAGCCCTCGGACCGTGGTCGAGGTGTGCAGGGGAAATTTGTCGTTCCAGGGCCAATGGGATGTGCTTCCTACGGGGAGGAAATAAACCCTTGTGACCGCGAGCCGTCTTCACACCCCTGCAGCGACGATCCGCTCCACTTGGCTTAGTTTGTTTGTAAAAACCATGCACTTAATGACTATAGAATAAGACTATTGCCACACATTTACTGTATCTTCTGCACTTCCATTCTTTTCTTCCATTAATCATCTTAGATGCTACTTCATGTGAAAGTTTTGGAGACAGCTATGGCAAATTACAGGCTATTTAATTGTGTATGTGTTTTCTAGGTTTCTATATTAAGTGGATTTCTCCATTTGCCCTTTTACAGTTTTGGTGAGCCTGTTATCCTTCTGTGTTTGCCGAGTGAGACAGCTTTGGCTACCTCTTATACTTTCTACTTCTATATTTCTACACAAATGTTTGCTCATTCAACTGTGTGTATTTTTACAATTTAAGAACAGCACTTTTATTTATTTTTTTCTTCTGTTTTAAATGAAGTAAACTCAAACCTGAGTCATGTGCCGAATCAGCTTTGAATGACACTTGGAATTCAATTCAGTCTTCTTTATAGCTGCATAATGCCGTTTTGAATGAGATAATCTCCTTCAATTTCACGAGGGATTCCAAGGGTTATTAAACAAAATAAAAAGATTTTGTGATTTGGAAAACAGTCTTGTCTAACTCACTGGCACTCAAACTGTGCCCTCCCACAGCTACTAGAAAAAACTGCCAGATTATGGAACATAAATAGTTTCAAATTCTTCAAAGGGAAATTATTTATAATGGCGGTTTTGTCTGCAGTGAATTCAAAGATCTTCTGTGCGACAGATGAGACTGGCCTCTCAGCCTGATAGCTATAGCAGAGGGGCGCCGATGTTAAAGGATCTCACCCTTTTTAAATATAAACACTGCTCTGACCAATGCTGTGCCCTGCATCCAGCCTATTGTCCAACTGCACACCCAGACATCTGTGATTGGACCCCTGGGTGTTCTGGATGGGAATAAGAGATGTTTCTCACCACTCTCTCCTGATGTCCACAGATATTTCACTACAATTCTTATTCATTCTTTATTTTCACTCTTCCCGTATCATCTGAAAATCGGCAGTGTAGATGATGTGAATATCTACCTCGGCCAGGCACAAAAAACCAAGATTTTTGTGAGTCCTTGATAGATCCATAGTGGATGTAATGGTACTGTATGTCAACCATTCAGTATAAAATGTCATCTCAATGGAGACAAGCTGTTAGTGTACGCTCAGCAGACATAAAAAAAGACGTGACATTTGTTTGCAGCTGGTAATTTTACAATTTGGAAAAAAAGAAAATACTTAGTGAAACATGAATTGAATAGAATTGAATTGTTTATTTCAAAACCTGCACAGGAAACACATTTTACAAATGTTCAGACACATAGTTCAAGGTTTGAAAAGGGGTTGGATGAAGCATTATTCTTATATTAGCCCAACCCTCTCACCCACAAGAATACATGAAATGAGAAAGTAAAAAGTGGTCCAGAGTAAAAATGAGTTAAATATCCATATTCAGGCTAATCAATAACTGGTTGATAGTATAACCTGGAGTTGTATTCCTTCCACCTAAGTTCAAAAATTAAGATAAACTAAAGTCAAATATGTGATTTGTGATAATATTGCTTGGATGTACTTATATAGGAGGAGACCCCAGCGAAGAACCAGGACACGCTGCAGGAACTATGTCTCTCAACTGGCCGGGGAACGCCTTGGTGTCCCCCCGGATGAGCTGGAGGAAGTGTGTGTGGATACGGAAGTCTGGCCATCTCTGCTTAGACTGCTGCCCCCGCGACCCGGCAACGAATGAAGCGGAAGAAAATGGATGGATGGATTTCTCTCAAACAGGATACAGAATCTGCTGCCTCCTCTCCCAGCCTTTACCTACAAATAAAGCAAAGGAAATACATTCAATTCATAGGTTCACCCTCAGGGCACCAAAAGACATCTGGATTAGAGGCACGGTGGCTGAGTGGATAGCACTCTCGCCTCTCAGCAAGAAGGTCCTGGGTTCGAATCCCGGTTGGACCAGGGCCTTTCTGAGTGGAGTTTGCATGTTCTCCCCGTGTCTGCGTAGGTTTCCTCCGGGTGCTCCGGTTTCCCCTAGCACTAAAAATATGTACAATAGGTATGGCATGTGCCTCCTGTACTGGCACCCCCACCCAACAATTGTAAACCGCTTTGAGACTCCGATGTGCAGTGAAAAGGCGGTATATAAATAAAAGCTTACTTACGTACTTACTTACTCTACCTGCTCCAGGTCATATTGCTGATACAGCTATCTGCGGGAACAGCTTTAAAGTTTTAAAGCATTGATATGCAGATAACATTCAGAAATTGTTAATATTCTTCATATAGACATTTCACATATTCCAGCTACACTTAAAACACACTTTTTAATCTCTTTAAGTCATTTTTTAGAGC